TTGGTAATACCAAATGCCTCCAGTGTTTAGTTTATTGGCTTTGGTTCCAATAATAGTATTTCAGTATGTTAAGAATTCATTCTAACCCATCAGTGCTATCTCCAGCTGTAGAGCTAAGGAACTTTTTATAACGGTTAAGCCCATTTATCTCAATTTAAATGATTCTAAGGAAAATCCATTGACTAAGGAAATTCCATTGTGTTTCCACTATAAAATGATTTACTTTCACATCAAAATCCAGTATTACCAGTTTTTGCCATTCACATTTCAAATCTTCTTGAGCCCTAGCCAGTTTTGTTCCATGGATAGAGTATCAGCTGTGGACTGAAGGGTCCCGGGTTTTATTCAAGGGCACATACCTCGGTTGCAGGCTCAATTCAATTTCCAGCCCTGGTCAGGCACGTGCGGGAAACAATCAATCGATGTGTCTCTCTCTGTTTCTTGCTCTCTGTCTCTCCCTCTCCCTTCCACTCTCTCTAAAATATCAATGGAAAAATATCCTCAGGTGATGAGTAACAAAAAAATATATTTTTTTCCCCTCAAATCGCTGGAAAGGACACTAGAGAGAGTGGTGATACGCCAAAGGAACAATTTATAATGAAACAAAGAAAGGCTAAAAACATCAAGAAGTGCCCTCCTACCTGCACTCAGAGGGCAGAGTTCAATAAGGTGAAAATATACCTGATAATGGTACTGCTTAAAGGACACTAGAGAACTATGTCCTCTTGGCTACCACTAGAGCTTTCCAGATGGTTAAGGAAAACCAAGAACAAAAAAAGGACTTGTGAGATAACTTCACATTAGAACTTGGCCAGACTTCCTTAAACAGTATCCTCACAGGGTAAGAGCAAATACCTAACCTCTCAAATATAATGATGAAAATTTTTGCAATAACCCAATCCATTAGACATACCACATTTCATTAAAAGATGCCATCTCTGTCATATTAATCATGGCCCACGCCCTACATGCAAACTCGAGACAGACTAAATTCATTAATTTATCTCTAACATACACATTCCTGGGGTCAAGGTAGTACTTGATAAATTGGGCTTCTGGCTCAGAAACTGTGTTCTGTAGGGGTAGAGATATAAAAAAAAATGCTATAAATAAGTGACCAATTCATAAAATTCATCACACTAATTTTCAAAAACTGCTCAAGGACTTTCTTCTCACTCCAAGACAAGAATAGCTGAATAAGTAAATAAGAACAGGTAGTCCCTTTTTCTGACCAACTTTAATAGTAATGAAGATTCTTTTTTGTTGTTGTTAATCCTTACCCGAGGATATATTTTTTCCCATTGATTTTTAGAGAGTGGAAGGAAGGGAGGGAGGAAGGAGGGCAAGAAAGGGAGGGAGGGAAAGAGGAACATTGATGTAGAGAGATACATGGATTGGTTGCCTCCTGCACAAGCCCTGACTGGGGCTGGGATCCAATCTGCAACTCAGTATATGCCCTTGACCTGGAATTGAACCCACAAACCTTTGGTGGGCAGACCAATGCTCTAACCACTGAGCACACCACGGGGAAGGTAGGTCCAGGGTGAATATTCTTGTGCATATTCACAAAAACCAAAGATAAAGTTTTCAATATGACTGTTAAATCTAAAAGCATTGACATTTGTCTCAGAAATTAAGATATGCATAGTCACTACCTCCATGCCTGTTGCTGATTCAATTGTTTCAATTGCCTGGGTTCCAAATGGGTAAGAGTAAATAACAGATTATCTTGCCTCACTGATAATCTGTTTAAAAATAAAGCTAATTCAATCTTAAAAACTAACTCTTAACACTGATGTTATGCAATAAAAAGCTCTGTTTGGCTAACTGTCTTTTATAATCTGGACATTTCCTAGACATGTTTAGAGTAACTTTCTTACAGTAGATAATATCCAGAAATAAATAATACTCACTAAAAACAAAGTTTAACTAGTCACTTCATGATTTTAAAAGCCTGTAACTCCCTGATGGAATACAGGACCACAGAGTGGGAAACTGACCATCTCAGGCTCCCACAACAGGGCACACGTCTATGGAACGTCTTCCACTCACGGTGTCCCATTTGCTTTTGAAATGCCAGTACTGTTTTAAACTGGCAACAAAAGGGCTGCTTTTTTCCAGCTCTCTGAAGACAGGCTTCTGTCCTGGGTTGATCCTAGTCAACACTAAGGATCACAGCACTGGGACTGAATTTTACACATTTAATAGAGTGCTGTATTAAATGCCCTGTCAGGTTGGGAACTAAGGTCACAAGCATACCTAGCCTTCCACTTCAGCCATGCTAGGAAATTCTTCCTAATAAAATGGAACAATTCTTATGCAACACCATGAAATATAAAATATCTTCAGAATATGTGAAATCCTTGGGGGGATGGAGCAGGGATGGAGAATTCTTATCTAGCACATAGAATAATAAGGAATAGTCAAAATTATGCCCTTCAAACATATTTCCTTTTTCCACTCTTTCCCAACAAAGACCTAGAAATCTTCTAAAAATACAAATAATAAAAATGTAATCTCACCACTCTCCATCCCAAGTCTTTATCTTTCAATGGAGAGAATTCAGATCCTGCTTGATGTTAATGCAAGTTGATCAACTCTAAGTTGATCCCTGGCTTGAATATAATTGCTTTCATCACAATGTAATCAACACTTTTTTAATGTGCATTTTTATTGATTTCAGAAAGGAAGAGGGAGAGAGATAGAAACATCAATGATGGGAAGGAATCATTGATCTCAGCTGCTTCCTGCCTGTCCCCTACTGGGGATCGAGCCCACCAGAGGAACTCAGGACCCTTCAGTCCACAGGCTGATGCTCTATCCACTGAGCCAAACCAGATAGGGCTAATCAACACTTTAATTTTCATGTGGCCTTCCCTACTCCAAAAAGGCATGGAAGAAAAGCCAGCAGGAGAAGGTTAAAAACTTTTCATTTGTGCTATCATATTATTAAGATGGTCCAACTGGGGAGGTGAAATAAAAAACTCTGTATTCCTAACCCCCTAGTCCAGATTCACTTCAGAAAGAAAGGAGACCTTTTCACGGTCTAGTTCTTTGATAATCTATTGACGAGGATCACTGCAGAGCCCAACTAGGGAAAACAACAACATATTCCCTCCATGGCAAAAGGAAAAGGCATGAGGTAGCTAGAGCAGAGGTGGTGAACCACACTGAAGCAGGAAAGGAAGGAATTACAGGCATTGTGCTTCCCTTTATGGTGCTTCACAGATGTTGTGTTTTTTACAAATTGAATGCAAGACCCTTCACCAGCAAAAAGAGTACAATTCACTTCACTGCAATACTGCCTTGCTGCAGTGTTCTGGAACTGAACCACCAGTACCTTGAGGTGCCTGTGCAATACTTGTGTCAACTCTGGTCAGGTACACTAATAGACACACCAAGAGGAAGGAAGCAATGAACAAAGAAAACTTACAGATATTCAGTTTAAGAATGCATTTAGAGATATACATACACCTACATCTAATATTCCCCTGTCCTCTGGTCTTAAACTAACCTGAATCATGTTCAATAGACAACCCTGGTTGGGCACAAAGTAACATCTAAGCTGACCAATTAAGAATGAATTGAAAAAAAATAACCAGGAAAACATGTTTAAAGGCAAAATACAGAGAGATGTAAACTAATGTATAACTTATTATAAGCCATATCAATGATGTGTACAGAAAATAGAAAAAAAAATGTGTCTATCATGTGCTAGCCATAATTTAGAGATGTATATAGGTTCCTTCATGCAATACTAACAGTGGGAAGTGGTATGTATCCCATTTTTAGAGATGTGAAAACGAAGGGAGAAGTTTAAATAACATGCCCAAGGTCTAAATCTTAGTACAGTATTTAAACACACGTCTTCCAGCTCTAAAGCTGTACTTTCCCCTTTATATCTTACTGATACACCTAGGTACCACCAATAATAATCTTATTCCAGTTCATAATGAGCATTTTCTAATTAGAACAGGATGTGAAATAAAACTCACCAGTGTCACACTCAACCTTTTCTACTGCAAATCAGAGATATTAAGAGTCAGCCAGACCTCCCTCCCAAAGACACAGCTCCTGTCACATCCCATAAACTCCCACCACAGGGCTATTCTCTGCTTCTCGAAACCCAAGAATCTTACAAAAATTACACTGACAAGTACATTCTGACTTTCCACCCTGGCTCCTGCTGCTGCCTGCTGCTCTGTTTTTTAACCCAAAGTTTACTGCCTCCTCAAGAGCTGGAATTCGGAGGTGAACCGAACCCAGACACCAACGGAAGGCAGCATTCGGCTCTGAGTGCCAAGCAGCTAACTGTTCTCCTCTAAAGAGCAAGAAAGGACGGCCCCAAACTAATTCGCAGCTTTTAACAGTGTAGGAAACACGATCCACACGCAGGCAAAGCACAATGCAAATGAGGCAGACACATTCCCTTCTAGGCTTACCGGGGTTTGGAAGACACACAGCAAGAGTTTACGACAGAGTCAGCATGTCCAAGGCCCACTAAGCTCATAGGAGTAATTCAGCCAGAGCTGGAACGCGGTCACACACGGTCCCCCGACCCCGGGACCCGGAATCCCAACGCTCAGCGCCCACTCACCTTCCCTCCTCTCCCGCGGCAGGAAGGGCCAGGCTCGGCTCCGAGAACACGGCTCTCGTAGACGCACGGAAGGACTGAGAAACAGGAAAGTTTAAGTGGCAAAGGGGTCTCTTCCACCAAACACAGTAAAAAATATATAAGTACATTTTAACATGTTTTTAGACCTCTCCCGAGCTATTTAATTGATCTAATGCCGGCTACTCAGTCAATAACCTACAAACATAGTTCCAGAAACAAAACGAGCCCGGCAAGGATCCTCCCCGCCCCACGGACATGTCAAAAGTCACTTCGCCCCGAACTAACCCACCCCCCGCCGCCCGAGGAGAAGCCAGCGCGCAGGGGGAGGGGTGGGTCCCGGGGAGAACGTGATCGCTCCAGCGCCGGTTTGTTTACAGACTCCGGCCACAGCCATGAGTCAGAAATTCAAGCCACCGGGCGCTTTCCAGCGAACCGGGCCCGGGGAGGACCGTTCTCCGGTGTCCCGAGGACCCGGGGGTGCGGGGAGGCCAGCGACGGGAATTCTGTGACCAAGGGGACGGGACCAGCCGGCGACAACTGCCTCCCGGGTCCTCGGACCTCGGCCTCCCGGGTGAGGTGCTGGGCCCGAGAACCCGGGATGCGGGGTGGGGGGAGAGGGGGCGGAGGGGGAGGGGAGCTAAGGGGGGTATCGCGCGGGGCCCCCGAGGGGACTGGGAGGCCAGGGCGAGCCGCGTCCCCCCGATCTCCGGGGGGGGAGAGCCCACAAGCGGGTCGTCGCCCGAAGAGGCAAGACATCCCTGGAGGGTGGGGGGTCAGGCCCTGGAGGGCAGTTCCGGGGTTGCCGGGAGGAAAGGGCAGCCAGTCCTTCCTGCAGAGACTGGGCTCCGGGGAGGGAGAAGCCCTGAGCCCTGGGCTGGGAAACGAGCCCCGCTATCCTGAGGGGAAACAGACAGGGCAGAGTGGCAGGCCAAGCCGGAACGAGGCACGGACCGGGTCGGTCGGGGGTGGGGGGGGTGTCCGGCTGGGGCAGTTACAAGCACGGGAGCCGGCGGGGCTCAGCAGCCCGCTTCCCGCCTCGGGTCATCCTGCTAACAGCTGCTCCAACGGTCCCAGGCCCGGCCGTCCCGTCCACTGCCGCCGCCAACGCCGCCGCCATCTTACACTGGCCAGCGGCCGCCGCCACCGCCGCCTCCGCTCTCTGCGCCTGCGCCTGCGCTGCCACGCTTTCCGGCCCCGTTTGCGACGATCTGCCGTGGAGAAGCCGGAGGGGAGAGTGGTCGCGCGAGCTCTCGGCTCCCCAACCTCCTCGAAGGACGCGTGAGGGGCGGGGCTTACGGCCAACGGAAAACACGACGGCGCGCGTGCGCATTGCCGGGGAGGCAAAGTTGATTTTTTTCCAGTTCTTGGAGGGTCGCGCATACCTCTCGGGACACGCAAGGCAGATCTGAGTTAGCGGCCTCCCTGAGTGGGGGTGGAAATAAAATGTATTTCTAATGGGCGACCTCCATTTCTGCCCTGTTTCTGAATACTGGGAACAAGCAGTTCTCTCGCCAGATTTTTTTCCAAAAACCCGATTTCCTTTGAGGACTATTTCCATAAGTGGTTTCTATATCTTCGAGGCCCACTTCACCCCGAGAGCCTCCGTGTATCCATTTTTAAAGAAGGGGTTCAGAGCCTTGACTTGTAGCTCTTTCTCTGAAGTGGGGTGGGATATTGAGGGTTCCCAAGAATGGGCCCAGGAGTGCATACTCTGCTTCCTAAGAGAAAGCATGTAGGAGACCCCTGACAAGGTTGCCCCCGCCTCCCCGGGTGGAGGATTTTTGATCAAAAGGCCAGGGTGCAAGAATCTGACCTCGCCTCCCGTACCGCTACCCTCCACGATAAGTCATCACTTAGACTGTTGCAATAGACACCTAGCAGGTTTGTCTACTTCCACTACTGTCCTAGTTAAACATAGGGCAGCTAGGGTGTCCTTTTAAGCTGTAAGTCAGGTCAAAACTTTCAAGCTGCTCATGACACAGTAAGGATCAAAGTGATCACAGTAGCCTGTACCACAGGCTTACAGGATCTGGCACCTATTTCTCTGACTTCTCCCCCGCTGCCTACCTCTACTCTAGCCTTGTTGGCCTTTGGTGTCACTCCAGCGGAAGCATGTTCCAGCCCCGGGCTTTTGCACTTGTTTTCTTTTTTTTTTTAATATTCATCTAGCCCTAGCCGGTTTGGCTCAGTGGATAGAGCCTCCCACTGAAGACTGAAGGGTCCCAGGTTGGATTCCAGTCAAGGGCACATGCCTGAGTTGCGGGCTCCATCCCCAGTAGGGAGTGTGCAGGAGGCAGCCAATCAATGATTCTCTCTCAGCATTGATGTTTCTCTCCCTCTCCCTTCCTCTCTGAAATCAATAAGAATATATATTTTAAAAAATGTTCATCTAAGATTTTCTTCAGATATTAGAAATGCAAATGACTTTGATATGTTGTTCTTGTATCCAGCAATCTTGCTAAACTTTCTAATTCTAATAGTTTATTTGTAGATTCCTTTGGGTTTCCACATATACAATTACAGTATACTAATTAAGAACACTGGTTTCATTTCATTTATTTTTGGGCCAAAACCAAGCTTTTCCTCCATCACCCCCACCTCCTACCCCTTTGGCAGTCATTAACGTGTACTCTATAAGTCTTTTTCTGTTTTGTGGTATTTGTTGTTGTTTTTCAGATTCCACATATAAGTGAAATAATATGGTATTTGTCTTTCTCTGACTTATTTCACTTAGCATAATACCCTGTAGGTCCATTCATGTTGTAGCAAATGGCAAAATTTCATTCTTTTTTATTGCTGAGTAATATTCCATTGTTTGTATACCACATCATCCATTCATCTATTAATGAACACCTAGGTTACCTCCATATTGTGAGTAATGCTCCAGTGAACACAGGTGTGCATATATCTTTTCAAATTGGTCTTTTTGTTTTCTTTGGATAAATTACCCAGAAGTGGAATTGCTGGGTCATATGGTGGCTCTATTTTTAATTTTTTGAGGAATCTCCAAAATGTTCTCCATAGTGACTACACCAAGTTACAATCCTACAACAGATCTTTACTGGACTGGAGCTCTCCACTTAATCTCCACAAATCTCTACTCAAATACTGCCTGAGGCAGCTCTTGACCATTCCAACTAAAATGATACCTTTTACACACACAAAAAGAAAGGAAAATGGTACCCTACACCACCACCCTCCTGTATCCTCTTACTCTGCATTTTTTATTTATAACATTTACAAATATATACTTATTGATTTTTAGGGAGAGAGACATCGATGGGAAAGAGAAATATCCTGCACAACCACCACCAGGGATTGAGCCCGCAACCCAGGCATGTGCCCTGACCAGGAATCGAACCGGCAACCTTTCCATGCATGGGATGACGTCCAACCAACTGAGTCACACTGGCCAGGGCTTTCATAACATGTTTTTACCTGTAACATTTAATGTATAATTACATATTTTTTTATCTAAATATATATTAGAATAAAACTCTGTGAGGGCCGGGTCTTTGTCATCTTTGTAACCCGAACATCTATAAGAGTGCTAGAACACAAAGTAACTATCAAATGCCCTACCATTCCATTCATTTATTCTATCCAACAACTATTGAATTCCTACTACATGTAAGGTCCTGTTCTAGGTGCTGCGTATTCAAAGAACAGTAAGGAAAGCAAAAGAGCATGTAGGAAATTAGTTTAGAGAAACAAGACGGGGGTCAGATGAATTATGGACTTATAGAACCAAGGAAAGGACTTTGGATTTTACCCTAGGAGTGCTAGGAAACCATGGAGGGTTTTGCATAAAAAAGTGAGATGATATGATTTATCAATGAAGAAATTTACTTTGGTTGATTTTTTAAGAACTGCCTGCAGGAAGGCGAAATAGAAGCTGAAAGACTAGTTAGGAAGGTATTGCAGGCCTACAAGGCTAGTGTTGCAGTTTAAGTGGTAGGAAGCGGTTGGATTCTGGGTATACTTTGAAGGTGGCAGAAGTGATTTGCTAATAGATTGAATTTGGGGTCCAAGATAAAAAAAATACATCAGACCGAGCAACAGGATAAATAGCAATGCCATTTTCTGAGATAGAACTCCTGGGGGTGAGGGCACAGGAGCAGGTTTTTTGGGGAAATACCCAGTTACTATTTTAGATCTATTAAGCTGGAGATGCCTATTAGATTACAAATGAAACTGCTGAGTAAACAATTGAAATACAGATCAGAAACTCCCAGGAGAAGGAACAATTGGTGGTGTTATTTGGGGAGTTATTAAGGTGTAAAAGGTATAGATAGCCATGGGATGGGAAGTGCTCAGTTAGCTAATGTGGAAAAAAAGAGAAACAATTATAAACTGAGCTCTCTAATCCTAAGGCACTCCAACTAGTAGTGGTCAGAGAAAAAGGAAATCCATCAAAATGTATTTAAAAGGAGCAGCCAGGAAATAGGAAGAGAGCAAGAGGTCTTATAAACTTTAAAAAATGTTTTAATGAAAAAAAATGTTTTAATGAGTTTAAGGTTGAAAATGACTGAAAATTGCCCAGCCAGTGTGGCTCAGTGGTTGAGCATCAACCTATAACCCAGAAAGTCACAGTTCGATTCCCAGTTAGGGCACATGCCCAGGTTGCAGGCGATCCTTAGTGTGGGGGCATACAGGAGGTGGCCAATTAATTATTCTCATCATTGATGTTTCTATCTCTGTTGCCCCTCTCCCTTCCTCTCTCTGAAATCAATTTTATATATATACTAGAGGCCCGGTGCACAAAAATTTGCGCACTCGGGGGTGTCCCTCAGCCCGGCCTGCGCCCATTTGCAGTCCAGGACCCTTGGGGGATGTCCACCTGTCAACTTAGGCCCACTCCCCTAGGGATCAGGCCTAAGCTTGCAGTTAGACATCCTTCTGGCAGCCAGGGAGCCCTCAGGGGATGTCCGACTAAAGGCTTAGGCCCCCAAGGGAGCTGTGATGAGGAAGCTGGGGTGGCAGAGGAGCCACGCTGTCCCGACCCACCGCCCTGGGTCGGGTCACACACGGGACACCTGGGCGGGCCGGCCAATCGCTGCTGCCCCGCCCGGCCGCCCCGGGTCAGGTTGCAAACGGGACGCCCACCGCCCCGGGTCGCAGATAGCAGGCCCGGATGGCGGCAGGGCAGGCGGGATGGCGCTGTCCCGCCCCACCGCCCCAGGTGGCAAATAGCAGGCCTGGATGGTGGCGGGGCAGGCGGGATGGCGTTGACCCGCCCTGCCTGCAGTATGCAAATTAGCCACCATCTTTGTTGGCAGTTAATTTGCATATCGCGCTGATTAGCCAATGGGAGGCATAGCGAAGGTACGGTCAATTACCATGTTTGTCTATTATTAGATAGGATATATATAATTTTTTTTTTAAGGAGAATGACTGAAAATTGACCACTGGATTTGGAAATATGAAGGTTAAGACCTTGACAAGAGTGGTTTTAGTGGAGCTATGGAGATAAAAACCTCCTCTTCTGTGATCTGGTTTCTGTGCTCACTGTTTTGGTGGACACCATTGCTACTACCACCAAATTAATTGCTACTACCACCGGATCTTCTCTTTCTTATTTTGGGCTTTCCAATTGCATTTGAGGTTGTGATGACCTGCTCTAAATATTTAATTCCACTGATTTCTGTGACACATATTCCATAGTTCTATTACATTTCTCTGTCCATTTATTTAGTGAGCTTCATTATACATGTTCTTCTAAACTGATCTTATCCATTCCCACAGTATAGACTATTACCCACATAATGATTCCTAATTATTCATTTCCAACACAGGCTTCTCCTTCAAGGTGTAGACTCACATACTTGATAACCAATGGCACTTTTTTAAAAAGATAGCTTTATTGAGATGAAACTCACATACCATACAATTCACTCACTGAAAGTGTACAACTGAAGGGCTTTTAGTACATTCACAGAAATGTGCAATCACCACCATCAGTTAATTTTCAACCATTTTTATCTCCTTGAAAAGATACTCAGTACACATTAGCTATCACCCCCTAATCTTCCCACCCTCTCTAGTCCTAAGAAACCATTAATCTACTTTGTCTCTATAGATTTCCCTATGACTTTTCTATGAATGGAATCCTATATAGTCTTTTGTGACTGGCTTCTTTCACTTAGCATAGTTTTCTTTCTTTTTGGTAAAGAATTATAAATTCATTGGACCATCTAGAAATCAGATGGGCTGAGCACCAAAATGGCAGCAGCAGGCCAGAGCGACCGGTGGGCAGGAGGCCCGGTGTAGGCAGTCCACTGAAGAGTGGGTGAGGCAGTTCACTGGAGACTGGAAGCCGTGAATCATGTCTTGTGAAACAGGCAATGAGAACAATAGGAACACCACCGGTAGGGCAAGAGCCTCAGGGGAGTGCAGGGGAGAGGGAGAGAATGTGCCTAACACTCCAGCCTCTTATTTACTTTCCTGTGAGCTGAAGGTCTG